GGGCTATATAGGTCATATAGTGAAAGTGCATTATTTCTTCGAAAATCTTCTTCTCTACTCCTGGGTATCATTTAAACAAATTGAATACATAGTTATGATAAGCCAGAGTGACTTTACCAAAATTGTGAAATTCATAGCCCCAGGATCAGGGGTTCTGGTGTTAGGGCGGGGCCATATAAATCATAAAGTGAAAGTGCATTATTTCTTTGAAAATCTTCTTCTCTACTCCTGGGTATTATTTAAACAAATTAAATACATAGTTATGATAAGCAAGAGTGACTCTACCAAAATTGTGAAATTCATGGCCCCAGGGTCAGGGGTTCTGGTGCTAGGGCGGGGCTATATAGGTCATTATAGTGAAAGTGCATTATTTCTTTGAAAATCTTCTCTACTCCTGGGTATTATTTAAACAAATTAAATACATAGTTATGATAAGCAAGAGTGACTCTACCAAAATTGTGAAATTCATGGCCCCAGGATCAAGAGTTCTGGTGCTAGGGCTGGGCTATATAAATCATATAGTGAAAATGTATTAATGCTTTTAAATACATAGTTATGATAAGCAAGGATGCCTCTTCCAAAATTGTGAATTTCATGGACCCTGGATCAGGGGTTCTGGTGTTAGGGTGGGGCTCTATTTATTATATAGTGAATATGCATTAATGTTTTAAAAATCTTCTTCTCTGCTCCTGGGTATTATTTAAACAAATTAAGTACATTGTTATGATAAGCAAGGATGCTTATTCCAAAATTATGAAATTCATGGCCCCAGGTACAGGGGTTCTGGTGCTAGGGTGGGGCCATATATATCCTATAGTGAAGGTGAATTATTTCTTTAAAAATCTTCTTCTCTGCCCCTGGGTATTATTTAAACAAACTATTAGTACATTGTTTTGATACGCAAGTATGCCTCTTCCAAAATTTTGAATTTCATGGCCACAGGGTCAAGGGTTCTGGTGAAAAGGGGGGGGGGGGGCTTTATTGATTATATAGTGAAAAAACAAAATTTCTCTGAAAATATTCTTTTCTGCTTCTGGTTAAAAAGCAAAGAAGCTAAGTGTATAGTTATGATGAGCATGATTGCTTCTTCCAGAGTAGTGAATTGCATGACCCCAGGGGGACTGGGGCTCTATTGATAATGTAGTGAATCTGTAGTAAAAAATGCATTATTTCTTTGAAAATCTTCTCTGCACCTGGGCATATCAGAGGCAAAAAGAGTAAAAGTTTTAATAAATATTTTTGAACATCTGGACCATTTTGTCAAGTGTTCTGGTCCTGGCCAGGGCTCTATTAATTTGTATTCTACTGAGGGGAGTTATTCCCCTTTGCCATTTACTTTTGATAATTAGTCACTGTAAATAATGTACTTGAAAGGTTAATAGAATAAGAGAATTTTGCAAGATTTTTTATTGTATAATACAAAAAGTACTTTCATAGTTTTAATGATCAGGTAGACTTGTAAGTAATAGATAAATAAGAATGAGACAAAAATAACTTGTCTTATTCAATGTTCATCAAAGACCAAAAAAGTCCAATGTAAGAGATTTCAACAAGGAATTAAAATAGTACAGAAGCACTGATAGTTTGTTAATATACTGTGATAGTGATAAATGGGGAACAGATAAGAACCTAATTTATGAACTGTTAATGAACACTAAACTAATTATTTTGTTGATCCTGATCACCCTATTTTTCTTGCTTTTGGGCAACAAAGCTTCACCTTTCAGTTCATTTTATACTCTATGGATTCTCTAAATTGTTCTATTATACTCAGGTGACCATTAAGGCCCTTAGGCCTCTTGTATCTAGAAAATAAACTAGGTGCTTGGTTATGATGAGCAAGGGTGCCTCTTTCTTCCAAAATTGTCTAATTTGAGGCCCCAGGGTCAGGGGTTCTGGAAATAGCTAGGACAGGGGGCTCTACTGATCATGTAGCAAAAATGCATGAATTCTTTAAAAATCTTCTCTCCCCTGTATATTTAGCAGATAAAGTAGGTGCATGGTTATCATAAGCAAGGGGTGCCTCTTTCAAAATTATGGAATTTTTGGCCCCAGTGTCGGGGTTCTGGAGTTAGGGTGGGGCTCTAATGATCAAATAGTGAAAATGCATAAATTCTTTAAAAATCTTCTTCTCTTCCTCTGTATATCTAGAATATTAACTAGGCATGGTTATTGTGAAATTTGAGGCACCAGGGTCATGGGTTCCGGCATTAGCGCAGGGCTCTACTGATCATGTAGTGAAAATGCATATATTCTTTAAAATCTCCTCTCCTCCTGTATATTTAGAAGATAAACTAGGTGTCTGATTATGATGAGCAAGGGTACCTCTTTCAAAGTGAAATTCATAGCCTCAGGGTCAGGGGTGTTGGAGTTAGGATGGGGCTCTAATGATCATACAGTGGAAATGAATAAGTTCTTTAAAAATCTTCTCTCTCTTCCCCTGTATATTTAAATATTAACTAGGTGCATGGTTATGATGAGCAAGGGTGCCTCTTCCAAACTTGTGAAATTTGTGGCCCTAGGGTCAGGAGTTCTGGAGTTAGGGTGGGGTTCTAATGATTATACAGCAAATCTGTATAGTACTTTGAAAATCTTTTTCTCTGCTCCTGAGTATTAAGCAAACAATCAAACTAAATGCATAGTTATCATTAGCAAATGTGCCTCTTCCAAAATTGAGAGAACAAGAGAGGCCAAGGTGAGAATGAATGCAATTGGTATTCTAATAGTGCTAAACAAAGCACTTTTGTTTTGTTTAGTCAGAATGGTGATAATGACAAATGGGGACAGGTATAGACAAGTAAATAGATCCATTTTAACATTTGTTACTGAGTAATAGTCTAATTATTTTGTTGATTCTTGATCAACTGATTTCTCTTGCTTTTGGGCAACATAGCTTTGAACATATATCAGTTTCTTTTTTATGTCCCCGTATTAAAGATTTGGGGGTATATAGTTTTTGCCCTGTCTGTCCGTCTCTCTGTCTGTTTGTCCGCAAAAACTTTAACCTTGCCCATTACTTTTGACTGGTTGGAGCTTTGGCTTTCATATTTCACATGTGTATTCCTTGTGACAAGACCTATCTTTGGATACCACCATATTTGACCTTGACCTTGGAGTTTGACCCAGTTTTGCAAAATTTTACCAAACTTTAACCTTGGCCATAACTTTTGAGGAATTAGTGCTAGGGCTTTCATATTTAATATGTTTAATCCTTGTGACAAGACCTTCCTTTGGATACCAACAGCTTTGACCTTTTGACCTTGATCTAGGAGTTTAACCTACTTTTGAAAAACTTGAACTTTGGCCATAACTTTTGAATGGTAGGTGCTAGAGCTTTCATACTTCACATGTGTAATCCTTGTGACAAGAACTTCCTTTGGATTACACCAACTTTGACTCTTTGACCTTGGAGTTTGACCTACTTTTGAAAACTTTAACCTTGGCCATAACTTTTGAACTATTGGTGCTAGGGCTTTCATCCTTCGCACATGTAATCCTTGAGACAAGACCTTCCTTTGGATACCAACAACTTTGACCCTTCGACCTTGGAGTTTGGCCTACTTTTGGAAAACTTAAACCTTGGTCATAACTTTTGAATGATAGGTGCTTCGGCTTTCATATTTCACCTGTGTATTGCTTGGGAGAAGGCCTTTCCTTGGGCACCATTCATTTTGACCTTGATGTTTGACATACTTATGAAAAAACTAACTTTTTCCATATCTATTCAATGGTTGCTGCCAGGGCTTTCATATTTCACAGGTTTATTCCTTGAGACAAGACCTTACTTTGGGTACCAAAATATTTGATTTACATTTGAGAAAGTTTAACCTTTGCAAAAAGTTGCCATACCAGGGCATCAGTGTTTCACAAACACATCTTGTTGTTTTATTTTATACTTCTGTGAATCCTTTACAATGTTGCACTATACTCAGGTGTCGGTTAAGGTCCTTAGGCCTCTTGCTTAATAATGTTAGGTTTTGTATCTGCTACTATTTTCTATTATGTTGAACTGTAGGTCATGAATTGAGACTATGTTTGTTTCAATTTCTGCCCTTTGCTCCTTCATTTCTTTCAATGAAACCTTTTGATGTTCCTCTGGGAACCCATATTGGATAAGAAGAACACATATATAAGTATATATGCTTCATAAAATTTTTCTCATTACTACAAGGAACTAGTATTATCAAATAAGGACATTGGCAAGTCAGGGTTTTCAAGAGAAAAAAGCTTTAATACATGGGTTTTTTCACTTATAAAATAGTGATTGAGAGTGATCTCTCGTGTAGAATTCTCTAAGTGTGGAAACCAATAAAGCGTATGTTATAGCATACAAAGAAATGAACTAAGAGAAAACTAAGAGAGCTAGGTGTACAGTATGAGCTAAAGATTCTTTTACATGGGTGTTCAGCGTTTTGCGTATCGCACGAACATCAACATAGCAAATTATGTACAAGAATATATCAGGTCAAAAAAAGTTTTTAAATACATTTTATTTTGATATATATTCTTTTTACTATATGTTATCAATACAATTATGTGTTATGCTTAATTGATCTGGATCTGCACGTGTCTGTGTGAGTTTGTGTCTGTGTGTGTGTCTACCATTATTGTAATATATATATTCACTCAGTCCATTGTATTTTGTAACTTTGATTCTTGTATAAAGAGGGTATTTATAGGCATTGCCGGTTGCCCAATCTATTCAGTATTCTGAATAAATATTGTTTAAATCAAAGCGTATGTAACAGAGGTAAACAAAAGCACATGTACTTCCTTCAATGGGTAGAATCATCCATACAGCAAGAAAGAAAAGTAGTAATGGCTTTGTTGTACATTGTATTCAGGGACAAAGAGCCAACAGATACCATAGTTATGCTCAGTATGCTGGGAAGGGCAAAGATGTGACATATATGTGCTGAAAGGTAGGCCGACTGAGAACAGTTCTTAGATCATCTGAAGGAAGCAGCATTTAGTAACTACAAATAAAAAATAAAAATAAAACCATGCCAATATTTTCATGACAATGTGTTTCAATCAATTCAGTCAATTACATGATAAAAACAATCAATCAGTTTTTAGCTGTTAAGGGAAGCGACTCAAAAATAATGATCAGTGCCGGTATATCCATGTCTTGATTCTATATATATTTTCAGCCAAAATATCTAGAAGTCATAGGAAATGAAGATACAATAATGTATATAATACAAAAACTGTATGAAATAAGTGGGTTTTGGGAAAATATTACGGTGAAAAATTAAGTAGGTCCCTTTTATTAACATTTTACATAGGAAATGCATTGAGAATTGTAAAAACACTGATTTGACAAAATCTAAAAAAGAAGGTTGGATTGGTAGGTTAAACAATCCACAATATAGCCTGTTTATTACAATTAAAACTACTCAAGAGTTCTTGAAAAATTCTATACGATAACCAGGAACCTTGCCAATGTCCTTAAACTCTCTGTTTTTAAAAATTAATAATTAACAACTCAAGAATTCAATGAAAATGTATTTCAAAATAGAAGTTTATGTGTAAAATAAACAATAAATGCTAAAGCAACAATTCCTGATTTGTAAGTACAGCAGTATAATTATGTACCATATAAGTAATCAAACTTGATGAAACAAGACCAAGAAGAATTATAGTGGACATTTCCTAAATGAAAGTAAATCATTTAAGTTAATAGAAAAAAAAACCTTTCAACACACAACCACTGTTCAACTAAATATAAAAATGCCTACCATTAGTTTACTTTATTCAGCATGTGTTTCAAAATGCAAACTGATTCATGTAAGTCTGTCTATAAATAAGGCATTTGGCATGATTTCATGATCTTCAGATCTAAATTATAATGTTTATAATTTATACAATTTATATGAATAATCCACACCATATTTATAAATAAAGTATAATTTTAATGTAAGCACCATATAAACATTACTTTGTATTATTTACATACATGTGTATATCATGATTTGATCTAGTGTTGTCAACAGGCTGCTAAAAGTTTATTATCTTTACTGACTAATAAGTAAAAGAAGTTTTACTTAATAAGAGACATGAGAGGTTTAAAACAAATCCTTTTTTTTCAATTAAAAAAAGTAATTAAAATGATACAGTTGAACTTCAGTATCTTGAACACTGATATCTCAAATACCATGGATATGTCGAAGTGATTTGAAAGTCCCAACCTCTTATTTTTTAAAGTACTTTACCCTGGATATCTCATATAATCAGATATCTTGAAGTTTGCTTGGTCCCATTGAGGTTTGACTGTATTTATAATTGTCCCTTCATGTAATGCATATACCATGTCTCAAGAAAACAATTCGTTAATATTTTTCAGTATAAATTCTTTCAAAAAGACAAACATCACTTTTCATTCCTTTGAAATTGCTCATTGATTACAAAGAACTTTTTCCCAAAATCATATTTTTGAACATAAAAACAAATAAAAATCAAAACTTTTTGTATAAGTAAACAATCATGCTCAATAAAACAACATAAAACAATATGCATATATCTAAAACACTTAGAAAAAATTCAACAGTACATGTAACAAAGACATCATTTGATGACATTTTCGCACCACAATTTATATGTATGCTATATTTATAAAAAAACAACCTGGCTTTGCCAGTCTTTTTACAAATCATTCACAAAAGACAAAAAAAGAAATTCATTGTACACATAAAAGAAATACAAACACATGTAAATAGATTGTACAAATATAATACTGTACAAAATCACAAGCTCCCAACCCCTGTGTACATTTTAACGACATTGGGCACATCGTCTTTATATAGCACGGGATCAACCCTAAACTCCACCCCCTTTAGGGGCATCGATTGATACGCTTTAACAAAGTTATTGACACACTCAGATCTCTCCACCATGTGTAAAGTGTCAGAGGACAGCATTTCACTGTTAATACACTCAGGGCATTTGAACTTCTTACGCGGGGCCACCTTGATGGGTCCCTTTCCTGTGACATTGGAGATGAGGAAATTCATGGCAATATCCTCACAGTTCATATTATCATCTACCCACTGTTTGATCTTACCAGGCATGTTGTATGTGTACAAATAACTGTAATACTGGAAAATATCAGTATTATTTCATTAAAAAATTGTAAATTACAAATCATTGTTAATTGTAAAGTGTTACCGCTTGAGTTCCATGTAAATACATGAACATGTTCAATGGCTTAATTGAATAATATGACGATCGAGTCTTCTTGAAAGCATGTGTTACAATAATATCTGTTTTAAAGCAATACTAAGATTAATGCCAATGTCAAATATACCCCTGGAAATTCCTCTAAATCATGTGATTTGACCGAGTACTAGGTATATTGTATACAGATAAGTGACCCAAGGATCTACTTCATGTCAAAGTTTTACCTGTAAATATCAAATATCTTGAAGATTATCAAAACGTGTTCATATCACGAACAAACCTTGTGGTGAAATGCGGCTCCAGTTAGCACCATAGAGATATTATTCTTCCATTCGGACTCGTATTTATACTTGTTGGATTCATTTCCATAGAGATGAACTCGAGATGGAAATCCTACCAACCTGTCTGGAAACTCACGCCAAACCTACATAAGAAAATAAAATTAATTTTTCTGCTTATATTTGACTAATGATTTATATGAGTTACTAACATAAGTTTCTTCCTGCATATCAACTTACAAACTTGTGTCTGTTTTTGATACCAGTATAGAAGAAAAGGAGTAAACGTTGTATCAGCAAAATTCAGAATTTACATCAAAGGATAAAAATCAACTTTTGTAAAATTAAGAAAAGTAAATATATGAACCTCATTACCTGATAACCAAATTCCACTTCATCAGGTGTCAGCATGTTTATATCATCATCAATGGCCAGTATACACTCTGTCTGAATCTCATGGTAGGGAAAAAACCTGTTACATATTAAAAGTAAAACACTAAAAGTTGCAGCATTTACTTAAAGACACGATACTTTAAAAAATAATTTACTTGTAACCAGACTCAGTCTATATTATCTTTTTTTCATAGCGAAAATGCATTTATAACCAAAAAACTTTACTTTTACATTCATTTGAAAACCTATAATAATTTAAAGCTGGCAATAAATGCAACAGTTGCAATAAATTTATTAACATTCTGTATGTTATCTATGCTGTGATGGAAAGACAAAATGAAGCCGAAAGCTTAATGCCCATGATGCCTATATGGTGGGCCTGTTTAACAAGAATGCCTTAACATAAAGCACCATATCAAAAGTTACTACCATATCATTCATATTTCCTATATGTATATACTGCCCATGGCATATAGAAGATTTTTCATTTATTGAAAACAGACAATTCAGCAAAACTCAAAACATGCAAGTTACAAATGTACATATATATGTATGTATGTTAGAATGTTTTAATGTCAATCAATAAGCACAAAACTTGGGCATGCAGAAGTACTTATGTTTATCAAAAGCTATTTTCAGGTTTATTTGAACTAGAAATATGTCCATAGGACATGAATGCCCCGCCGAGGGTATGTTAGTAATGCAACATTTTAACACAAATTGAGAAAAGTGAGGTCAAGGTCAAAGGAAAGGTCAAGGTGAAAAAATATTGATGCAGTTGAATAGCTTACAATTCAGTATGTATCAGCATATGAAGTTTGACACTAATTTAAGAAAAGTGAGGTCAAGGTCAAAGGAAAGGTCAAGGTCAAAAAATGTTGATGCAGTTTAAAAGGTTACATCAGTATGTATTAGCATATGAAGTTTGATAAAAATATTATGAATGGTTTCTTTAAAACTGAGCTAAACACTAATTTAAGAAATGTGAGGTCAACGTCAAAGGAAAGGTCAAGGTCAAAAAATGTTGATGCAGTTGAATAGCTTACATCAGTATGTATCTGCATATGAAGTTTGATTACTTTATCTTGAATGGTATCTTTAAAACTGAGCTAAACACTAATTTAAGAAGTGAGGTCAACGTCAAAGGAAAGGTCAAGGTCAAAAAATGTTGATGCAGTTGAATAGCTTACATCAGTATGTATCTGCATATGAAGTTTGATTACTCTATCTTGAATGGTATCTTTAAAACTGAGCTAAACACTAATTTAAGAAGTGAGGTCAAGGTCAAAAGAAAGGTCAAGGTCAAAAAATGTTGATGCAGTTGAATAGCTTACATCAGTATGCATCAACATATGAAGTTTGATTACACTATCTTGAATGGTATCTTTAAAACTGAGCTAAACACTAATTTAAGAAAAGTGAGGTCAAGGTCAAAGGAAAGGTCAAGGTCAAAAATGTTGATGCAGTTGCATAGCTCTCATCAATATCTATCAGCATATGAAGTTTGATAAAAATATCTTGGATAGTTTCTTTGAAACTGAGCTTTGAACAGAGCTAAATGCAAAGTGTGACGGAAGGACGGAAGACGGACATGACAAACACTATATGCCCCGGCCATATTCATGGCGGGGCATAAAAATGCAATAATAATTTAAAAACTCTAGTCAGACTAGCAGACCTGGTTGTTTTCTGGCTTAATCTGTCCATTTTACTGCAAAATTATTTGCAGGTATAATTTGAAAAAAACTAAACTCTTTATCTGAACTAATTACAAAAATAGAAAAATTCAAAGTCAACATGGGGCCCATATGTTTATCCCCGATCTCTGTCTTTTTCATAACATGAGATAAAGCTTTTCTGCGACACCAAACTTGCTTGTAGACTTGTTGTTTTAGCAGAATATATTTATGGATTTTTGGTGCATTTCTTAACTTGCACATGAACTGCCAAAATATAACTCAACAAGAGGCCCATGGGCCACATCGCTCACCTGAGCACATTGGCTAGGCAAAAGCACAAATCAGTTCAGTATTGAAAAGATTACTGGGGGGAGGGGGGGGGGGCTTGAATTTTAAACTTCCTGATGATGCTTCCATGTCAATGTAATAAATGGCTTTGTTCTTGAGAAAATTTTAAAAAAAAATTTCCCATATATTCCTTTGTAAAAATTTTATCCCCCATTGTGGCTCCTCCCTATCCCATGGGTCATCATTTGAACAAACTTGAATCTACACTACATGAGGATGCTTTCATATCAATAGGACTACACATAACTTTTCTGTTCTTGAGAAGAAATATTTTTTTCTATATGTTCTTATGTAAAACTTTCGATTCCCCATTGTGCCCCACCCTACCCCCGGGGTCATCATTTGTACAAAATTGAATTTACACTACCTGAGGATGCTTCCATATCAAAATGACTAAACATGATTTTCAGTTCTTGAGAAGAAGATATTTTTCTATATGTTTTCCTATGTAAAATTTTTGATCCCCCATTGTGGCCAGACCCTATCCCCATGGTCATCATTTTAACAAAACCTGAGGATGCTTCCATATCAAAATGACTAATCATGGCTTTGCAGTTCTTCAGAAGAAGATATTTTCCTATATATTTCTATATAGACTTTGATCCTCCATTGTGGCCCACCCTACCCCGGGGGGTCATGATTTGAACAAAATAGAATCTACACTACCTGAGGATGCTTCCACATAAATATGATCAATCAGGGCATTGCTGTTCTTGAGAAGAAGATTTTTAAACATTTTTCCTATATATTTCTATGTGAAACTTTGATCCTCCATTGTGGCCCCACCCTTCCCCCTGGGGGTCATGATTTGAACAAACTTGAATCTACACTACCTGAGGATGCTTCCATATAAATGTGACTCATCATGGCTTTGCTGTTCTTGAGAAGAAGATTTTTAAAGATTTTTCCTATATATTTCTATGTAAAACTTTGATCCTCCATTGTGGCCCTGCCCTACCCCCTGGGGTTATGATTTGAACAAACTTGAATCTACACTACCTGAGGATGCTTCCATATGAATATGACTCATCATGGCTTTGCTGTTCTTGAGAAGAAGATTTTTAAAGATTTTTCCTATATATTTCTATGTAAAACTTTGATCCTCCATTGTGGCCCTGCCCTACCCCCTGGGGTCATGATTTGAACAAACTTGAATCTACACTACCTGAGGATGCTTCCATATAAATATGACTCATCATGGCTTTGCTGTTCTTGAGAAGAAGATTTTTAAAGATTTTTCCTATATATTTCTATGTAAAACTTTGATCCTCCATTGTGGCCCAATCCTACCCCTGGGGGTCATGATTTGAACAAACTTGAATCTACACTACCTGAGGATGCTTCCATATAAATATGACTCATCATGGTTTTGCTGTTCTTGAGAAGAAGATTTTTAAAGATTTTTCCTATATATTTATATGTAAAACTTTGATCCTCCATTGTGGCCCTGCCCTACCCCCTGGGGTTATGATTTGAACAAACTTGAATCTACACTACCTGAGGATGCTTCCATATAAATATGACTCATCATGGTTTTGCTGTTCTTGAGAAGAAGATTTTTAAAGATTTTTCCTATATATTTCTATGTAAAAATTTGATCCTCCATTGTGGCCCTGCCCTACCCCCGGGGGTCATGATTTGAACAAATTTGAATCTACACTACCTGAGGATACTTCCACATGAGTTTCATCTTTCCTGGCCCAGTGGTTCTTGAGAAGAAGATTTTTAAAGATGCTATTATTTTTTCACTAATTCTTTATTATCTCCCCTTGAAAGGTGTGGCCCTTCATTTGAACAAACTTGAATCCCCTTCACCCAAGGATACTTTGTGCCAAGTTTGATTGAAATTGGCCCAGTAGTTCTGGAGAAGAAGATGAAAATGTGAAAAGTTTACGAGAACAACGAAGACGACAACATCGACAGACAACGGACAAATTTTGATCAGAAAAGCTCACTTGAGCCTTCGGCTCAGGTGAGCTAATAATATACATGTACTGTACACATATATGTTTAACATTTATTTTTAAAAAAATCTTTTAAAGGGACTCATGATTCAAATAGTCTATGACCTGTGTTTGTGCTTTATTTTGAATGTACTAAATTCTGTACACTTCTTTTTTTCATATTTACATACAGGTGACTCTCGATCTCTCGAAGTTCAAGGGACCGCAAGAAAAGTTTGAAAGATCGAGGGGTTCGAGAGATAGAAAGTGAATAAAATCCGGAATTTTCAGTTTCGATCATCATTGTTCTACTATTATAAATACCGGAAGTATTATGTTGATAATGTCATTGCACGTTTTCATTCGTATTTTACAAGTAATTCACTTGATTTCAACAAAAATGAACGTATTTTGAATAAATAAAATGATCTCTTTAAGTTTCAATATCTATTTGATTTCATTTCATGATTACACGAAATCTGAATAGCAATCGTCGGTGTGGCTACCCCCGGGCTTGATCGGGTCCTTCACCAGATTTCGCGTATTAAATCGGTATTTAATTCTGGAGATAGGATTATTTGCGCAATGTTTGTCATACTGGGATTACGTACACACAAATAAAACTTTATAATCTATGGAAAATTATTGACACGCCTCTTAAATTATTTTCTAAAAATTTTCGTCTCGCTGTCAAGTCAAAATAAGTTGTGAAGCAATTCCTTTATAATCAATTAATTATTTTTATCAACACTCAGATGCTCACAGGTATAATGTCACTATGTAAACACCCAATTAGCACCTCCATGCCAGCCCCAGGCGTTCACGATTATCCAAGTAAGTCCAAGCTGCATTAATTTTACGCTTGATTGGTGTGTACACACGCGCAATCAAAACTTCGAGAGATAGAGAGTAAAAAAACAATGAAATATGTGTAACGGGACCCAGGTCTTGGTTTGAGAGATAGAGAACTTCCAGAGATTGGAAGTTCGAGAGATCGGAAGTAAATTTGCTTAGTTATATAGAGGAAAAAAACGGGACCGGAGGTTTACTTCGAGAGATCGAGAACTTCGAGAGATCGGAGTTCGAGCCATCGAGAGTCACCTGTTTAAACTTTTATATCTACTTTTTTTTATCACATATCACTTGTTAATGAAATATGACTTCATTAATTATAATTAGGTAATCATTGTAATCCTGTTTGTAATAAGCAGTTATGCCTGTATACCAATTTTAGTTAACATTGGAGTGATAAATTTACCAACCTGTTGCTGAGTTTATTCTTTTGTGTCTGTATAATTTTCAGAGGTTTAGAAACCAAAGGCCAGGCTGACACTACAATGCATGTACACAACATTAAAAAATATCAACATACAAGAAACACAGAAAAAGTAAAGTATATTTGTAAAACAAATCACAAACCAAATCACAAATGTGTAATGAAGTTGACTTATATTTGTCCTGTGGCCTCCCTGTGGGACCTTAATCTTGACCTAATACTCTTTGTCACAAGCCGAGGGTATTGTGTCCATTCTATTTCCACAAACCTACAGATTTGTGGAAATAGAATGGACAAAAAACCTGTGGCTTGCAATGATACCTGATGTTAAGCCTTATAATTTCCTTTCATAAAATTTTTTGGACTGTAAAATCAATTTGTCAATCCCCCCTTACTAAAATATTAACTGATAGACTTACTTGGTGGTGGAGCTTTGGCCTGATTATTCCAGATGACCACAATTTTGGACATACTCTGGACTAAGGACAGCTGCTTGATCACCTGGAACAGGGACTCTGGACGATTGTAGGTCAATACAACAGCTGTAAATCCCTGGGAGCTGGGTGGGATCAGAGGCAAGAACATGGGATTCCAAACAGCCTTCTACAAGCAACATAAAAACATTCACTGGAATGTGCACACTTTTTATGGAACTTAATTCTTCTGGACCCTTGCAAAAAAGCATAAATAAGGTTTTTGGTGATAGAATCTGTTTCCTAAAACAGTTTTCTTATGGTTTTAATGCCATCATTTGCTGAGTTTGTTTTGGCATCTTAAAAGAACGCCTCATGTTATTCCCCAAAAGATTCCTGACTATTCTTTACCACAGGAACATTTTTTAGGTCACCTGAGTAAACTCAGGTGACCTATTGCTATCCGTTTTCGTCCGTCGTCGTACGTCGTTCGTCGGTCGTAAACTTTTGAACATTTTTAGCTTCTTCTCTGGAACCACTGAACCAATTACATCCAAATTTGGTATACAGCATTTATGGGTGAAGGGGAACAAAAATTGTGAATTTCATGGTCCCTGCCCCCCTAGGGCCTGAGGGGTGGTGCTAAAACCACCAAAAATAATGCAATCTTTAAAAATCTTCTTCTTTACTCCTGGACATCAAGCAGTCAAACTGTTGGCATCATTGTAATAAGCATTGAGCCCTCTACCAAAATTGTGAAATTCATGGCCCAAGGGTCAGGGGTTCTGGCCCCAGGGTGGGGCTATATAGATCATATAGTGAAAGTGTGTTATTTCTTTGAAAATCTTCTTCTCTGCTCCTGGGTATGAAATAAAGTTACTAAGTACATAGTTATGATGAGCAAGAGTGCCTCTTCCAAAATTGTGAAATTCAAGGCCCCAGGGTCAGAGGTTCTGGTGTTAGGGCGGGGCTCTATCGACTATATAGTGAAAATGCATTAATTCTTTGAAAATCTTCTCCTCTGCTCCTGGGCATTAAGGTGATAAACTAAGTACATAGTTATGATGAGGAGGTGGGCCTCTTCTTCTCTGCTACTGGAGATTATTTTAACAAACTAAGTGCATGATTATGATAGACAAGGATGCCTCTTCCAAAATTTTTAAATATATCGCCTCAGTTTTGGGGGTTCTTGAGGGGGGGGGGCTCTATTGATTATATAGTGAAAAAGCATTAATTCTATTAATTAATCATTAATTAATCCTGTCAGCTCCTTAGTGTTGACCTGATAAATAAATTGCTTAGCTATGATAAAAATGGGAGCTTCGAACAGAATTTTTAAATCTTGTGGTCCTTGGGTCAGGGGTTCTGGCATAATGGGGGGGGGGGGGGCTTTTGATAATATAGTGGAAAAGTGTTAATTCTTTGAAGTCCATAGTAATGATGATGAGGGTAACTCTTCCAAATTTGTAAATTTCTTGACCCTTGGTCTTGGGTTCTGGTGTTAGGGTAAGGCTTTGTTGAATCTGTAGTGAAAATGCATTGTACCTGTGAAATTCTTCTCTGCTTCTTGGCATATCGGAAGCAAACTGAGTAAAAGTTTAAATGATATGAGTAAGCGTATTTCTGCCAGATTTTTAACTGAGTAAAAGTTTAAATGATATGAGTAAGCGTATTTCTACCAGATTTTTAAACATCTGAACCATTTGTCTAAGCATTCTGGTCCTGGGCAGGGCTCTATTAATTTGTATTCTACTGAGAGAAGTTATTCCCCTTTTCCATTCACCTTTGATAATTAATCACTGTAAATAATGTATTTGAAAGGTTAATAGAATAAGATAATTATGCAAGAATGTTTATCGTATAATTAAAAAGGTACTTTCTTAGTTTTAATAATCAGGTAGACCTGTAAGTAATAGATAAATAAAAATGAGACAAAAATAACTTATCTTATTAAAAGTTCTTCAAAGACCATAAGAGAGGTCAATGCTAGAGGTCTTAATATGGGTTTATAAATAGTACAGAAGCACTAATAGTTTGTTAATAGGCTGCATGGTGATTAGTGTTAAGTGGGGGACAGATTAGAACTCAATTTCTGAGTTGATAGTGAATACTAGACTAATTATTTTGTTGATCCTGATCTTCCTACTTCTCTTGTTTTTGTTCCTCTGCTCTGCCTCTGGGTATTAAGTAATCAAAGTAAGCATGCTAACCGTATAGTTATGATGAGCAATAGTGCCTCTTTCAAAATTGTGAATTACATGGCCTCTGGTTTAAAATACGAACCAAATTCAATTGTTGGAAAGTTGTTACACAATACTCAGGTGACCTATAAGGCCCGTGGGCCTCTTGTTCATCTTCAAAATAAGATGTATTTACTTATATAACTAATCTTCGTCATTTACACATGGAGTGTTTCCAAATTGCTATATAAACAGAATACAGGTACTTACAGGGTTTGAAATCTCATTCCACTCTTCATATCTTTTAGCTACATATGGAAACACCCTGTCATTAATGATCTGTAGTGTTGTCATGGTGATGGCTTTGACCGAGTGGAAGTAGTTGTCCCAGAAGAACTTAGCCTGCCTTCTCATCTGATATATTCTCTCCATGCTGTAGGATTTTAACACTTCCACAACATCCTTCAAATCATCCTCTCTGATCACCACTGCTGCCCTACAATGTAATTAGTACATGAAAATTGACTGTCCTATTGGTTAATTGCAAATACAATGTACATGTAATAACTAAAATTAACTTTTGTCCTTTACAGTATTTTAATATTCTAACATGGGTATATTTGCTTTATCTGTTTATCTTCAACAGGTTAAAATAAAATGCTTATACCTGCATCTTATGGAAATTTTCCTCTCCATTTACCAATTTTCAAATGTTTATTGTTAAAACAATCTTCACTAGATTTGTGAAGACTGCATTAAATTGTGCAGATCTACTTGTATGTCAGATACAGCAATCAAATATTTAAAAGGATAACTAATAAATCCTCTTTAAGCCACACTTTACTTGATTCAATATATGCATTTCCATTTGAGATCATCAAATTTTAATGCAGATAATTTTAACCTTTTCCAGTCAAGAACTTCTGAAAATGGTAAAACATATCCATCAGCCACAATAACAGGAATACAGCCTGTCATCAATGCATCACTTAAGGCCGTGTGACCAAGTCTAGCACTCCGCAACACCATGCAAAACTTGCTCTCCTATAATAAAGGTAAATAAGTTTATATACGAATATAAATATTCTAAAGGATCACAATTCTTATATTAAAGTTATATTCTATATCTCATAGACATTAATACCTGGTACACACATCAAGATCATTCTATCATAATAATTACACATGGAAATGAAAGAAAAAAAATTTAAAAATAATTGCATTAGACTTTTCAAATTTGACTTTATAAGGATGAATTGGCCATTGATCTAAATATTACTTCTATCTAAAGTAATCCTTCCCATCATATTATTCACTCTCTATTTACCTGGAGTATATCGGGATATTTATACTCCACTGATCCCTGGCACCGCCGGGTAAAGTCCCACTTCTTGTCATCTCCACATCTGTCCATGATGAGGAACCTCTTTTCTGATGCTGCCACCTCTGACATGACCTCTTTGTACTCACTGTGAAGCCCTACCTGGGCAGAGATAAGCAGCCATTTTCTTGATTCCCTGAAGCATATGAACTAGTGTTTATGTTTAGTGGATTAGTATGAATGCAAAATGTTTTAAAATAAAAATCTAAATCCAACTTAAGGTCAAGATCTAGAAAATGAAAGGTGCCTACAGATTTTTCAAATTTGAGAAGCAAGTTCTTTTAATGATCCTTTACAAATATAGCTTGGTAAAATAAGGTGTATCAGGACATAATATTTAGGTAAACTCAACAAAAAAATATGTTTTAAACTATTATTTTCAATGAAAAATGAAGAAAGTCAGGTATAAATTTTGGAGTTTTTTCCATCTCAGAAGAAAGAAATGTATCAGTACTGCCCACAGTCTCTCAGAAAACAGTTTTCAGTATCTTACTGGCCTCTACTTTAAAATGATATCAAATTGAATATAGGTATCGGGGTTACTTTTGACACGATTTCAAATTGAATTCCATCGAAATGCTTCATTTTATACAAAATTCTATTACAGCCATAAAGTACGGGAAAAATTCAGTCTAAATCAATTATGACGTCATAATATCTAGCTTCAAAACGACATGTCTAAACTCATTTACTAGATCTTTACCTTAAATGTGTTTTCATCATTAAATAGTATTTGATTCTAACAAAATACATGGATAATGAAATTTCAACATCTTGATTCTAATCTTCAATAGGCCTTCCATGAATAAACAGTTGATAAATACATTAATATCAAAAGCACAACTAGTGAATGAAGTCTTTCATGTTTAAAAAATCATACACAGTTATTAAATCGTTTCTCCTATTAACATACATGAAGCCTATATTCAAAATGTTTTCTTTATCAATTGGAGCAATTCTGCCACATTTCTATCTTGGCCCTTGACCAGATTCAGAAGTTAAAATTATACTTTTTGTTAAATCAGTTATGACGTTCCTTTATTAGAATACATTTTAGTTGAACTTTTTATTTACTCACAAATTTGATTTGGGTTTTAAGTTTAAATCTGGTAAGAATGGGTTAATGACTGGGATGGAAACATCAAACCCTCTTCTATAGCTCCATGTAGAAAACCCTCCTCCAGCTATCATAGCCTTGCCTGTGTCGGCCTCCAGTATTGTTTGATAGCTTGGCAGTTCACCTGGCAACATGTTGAAAATCAGGTGATTTGCTCCATCATTCCACCTAAAGCATTTAAAATAAATACCACATTATCAATTTATTACAATTCTATAAACATTGTCGGTATATGCTGATTGAATATATATATCTTTTCCAACCAGGGACCAAATAAAAGCCGTATTGAGACTTGGTTTTTTTGCTCAGGTATGCTTTCCTTCTTTTCTAAAATCAAAATTCAGCCGAAAGACTGGTTTAATTCAACAAATAACTGAGGAAAATTGAGGATTCATAACAGTTACACATACCAGTTTAACAGTGTATAAAGGTTGCCCAGTTCCTTTGTCCTGATATTATTCTGGTTTAGTGTATCGAGAGTGGGAACATAGAGACATGCTGTTTCTGGGTTATCAGTGTGATAGGGACTTTCGGAGATTGCCTCTAAGATTTCATAAAACTCCCGGGAGAGTATTGGGGAAACCTGATCCCCGTTTTCATCAAAGTACTGAACGAGGGGATAAACGTACACACTTATTCTCGTTTTGTCATTGTATCCACAATGAAACACGTTGACACACGTATGATAGGTACATTTAGAATCTTGCGGAGTGGGTTTAGAAACCAGGCTCTGTAAATTGACATTTTCTCGTCCTGCAGATCGTATAAAAGAATGAGGTAGATCTTGAGATTTGGAAGAACTGTTGTTAAATACAAAGTAGAAAATTACAATTCCCATAGTCAAAGTCATTACCATCAACAGTAACGTCATACGGAGTCTAACAGCCATTTTTTCGTGAATATACTTTTCGCTATATAATAACTATTCCAGTAATCAATCTCCTCCTTATATCTGTCATCCTTAAATTCTCACAAATAATCAGGGTTTAAAAAAAAAATCAACTTCGAAGATCTGAGTCTGACATCTTGGAAATAAATTTCGGAATGTCGATCCCGATTTTATCCTGAAAATATATGCTCTTTAATTTTTTTCCAGCTTACCTTTTGTCTCTAACTATTTCTCGCCCTCCTTTTTTGGCCCTATAGTGCCTGTATTTTTTAAAAAAAAAAAAGTATTGATTTATAGTGATTGATTTATTTAAAAATTTAAGCTATTTATAGTGCCGACGTGTAAACCCCCCCCCCCCCCACACACACATTCATATATGTGTATAACCATCAGCAATACAAAAACAGCATTAATTTTATGAGAAAATAATTAAAATTATAGTTTTACAAATTTCATTTTAATTTTAAATTTCATTTACTATATTTGACAGCGTAATTTTTTTAACAGCCCTCGTATGTTGCCTTTGGCCACGATTTTACCCTGCAGGCGCAGATCCAGGATTATTTTTCGTGGTGGGGGGTCCATCCCGGTCAAAAATAATCCCCCCCCCCAAAAAAAAAACCCACGTAAAATCCATTTCCCAAACTGGAAAAACACCTATTTCATGGCGGTTATCGTGGGGTCCACGCCTTTCTACTGGGGGATCCAAAAGTCTTTTTTTTCTTTCCTTCAGTATATACTTTTATAATAACTCTGCAAATATATAATTAATTCCAGGAGGGGGGGGGGGTTCCGGACCTGGGTACTTGTAAGTCAAGGTCCATTGATTCTGAGCACAGAAAACAAGGACAAGAAGATAAAAGGGAACAGATCCACTTGTAGTATCCCTGGTATTGAGTCTGTTGTGAACCCCCTCCATGTCCTTTTTGGTCCAGGTGACTGTCATTGATGGATCTCCAAAATTGGGCTTCCAATCCATGTCCTTAACAAGAAAAGTAGGGACACTGAAGTCACGTCATTATAAATAGATCTATTAGCATAATTATACATATATTATGTAGAATCAGATTTGTTTAAAGCATGATTCCCGGGGCTACTGTAGGGCCACAATGCTAGGCAGGCAATAAAAATTGTAGAAACTATAATCCTTTTAAGTAAGACTATAACTAAAGTCATATAATCAGGCGCGGATCCAGTAATTTTTTTCCCGGGGGGGGGGGGGGGTGTTGTTCCACCCCAGTCAAAAAAAAAAATCCAACCCAGAAAAAACCCCTAAACTCCTTTCACAAATGTGAAAAAAACCCAATTTCGTTGGGAAGTGGGGTGGGGGGTGGGATAGTCACTCGCTTCTAAAGGTTCAAGTCTATGACTTTTCATACCAGTTTAACACGGGTCCGCGTTTTCTAGGAGGGGGGTTCCAAGGTCACTTTTAGTTGGTTTAACATACACATTTAATAACTCTGCAAATTCCGGGGATGGGGAGTGGGGTCCGGACCCCCCGACCCATCTCTAGATCCGCGCATGTATAATATGCAAGAATCTTCATATGTCCATCATCCCACCTGTGGTTAGGATGGTGTGCCTAACCGGTCAAATCTTTTTAAGAGAATTTACATAATCTATATAGAATACTTGTTCTAAACAAAAAATACATGTATAAATAAGTCTCGATGAAGTGAAGATTTTTTTATTGACCAATATTTACATTCCAAATGTATTTTGCTTATAAAGTGTGAGGAAAGCTACGACATTTAAAACACCATAACACGGACATGGGGTCAAAAGGTTAAAGTATGCGTTTTATTTTGACGTCACAAACGTTGAACGCCGTGGTAGTGTAACGTCATAAACGAAAATCAATATTCACGCTCACATTGAACAGAACCTGTTGCAACGGCTCTTCCATTAATTATAACTTACCCGAAGGATAATACAGGGATTTTGAAATATAAATCACATTTGCAGTCAAGGCAAGGGGTTAAAAAATGTAAATATAAGTATTGAATCATTATTTTTTGAAAGATATAGTCTCATAACTGCAACGGTGTGTGCAAACAAATTTTCATAACGCGCTAAGTAACATCGGGTTAGAGGGAGTCACTATGACGTCATAATAAAAACACATCATAACAGACTAACGTCACAAAGCAGTTCTGTTGTCGAGAACATATGGGATAATCTGAGACTGTACAACAGCTATAATCTTGAAACGATGGAGAGATTCGGAAACAAAACAATTGATCAGTGTCTAAAGTCAAGTCTGTTAGAGTATTTGTCAAAAACGAAGACCCGAACAATGACTCCAGTGGTAAGCTTCAACAGGAACTTTTGGTTATTTCTTTTTATAAGGAAATTAATAAAGCACATCGAAGAACTATTTTACAACATGCAGTGGCTTAGAAATTTATAAAAGGTAATCAGGAATGTTCATTCTATATTTCCTTTTAATTTATTTTCTAGAGACGAAACATTCTACAAATCGTCATCTTTCTCTTTGGAAAAGAAACTTCGGACAAACACGAATTTTTGTATTCCGACAAGAAAAAACATTGCTGGTAAGACAATGAAATTTTTATATATACCAAAGATTTTTCGATTTGCAAAAAGTACTAATAAGATTACAATACCGTTTACAATGTACATAAAACATGCACATCTATCTTTTTTTTTTATTACCAGTGCAACAGAAGAGATTTGTAATATTCTCGTACTTATTCATGGAAGCATTGAAGAAAAACATGATTACAGACAAAGGCATAAAAACACATAACAGAATGTGGTCCCAACATCTGCAGGATCTGGTCATCGGTGGTAAGTTTCATTTATTATATTGGTCATTAAAACAAAATATTCCTTTTTTTGTTTTTTTGTTTTTGTTTTTTGATTTGATAGAGTCTGGTAGGTTTTTATTTATCTCCCTTTAGGCGTATTTATATCTTCCAAACTTCTTCAGAATTCAGCTATTTCATCGATACTAATCCGATCTTTTTTTTTCTTCAGGAAATGAAAAAGAAGCTAAAAAGTACCTTAGAATTCTGGAGGACGGGGAAGATACGATATTCAACGTAAGTGTAATATCTAAGGCACTTCACTTCCCAATTCTATCTGAGGCGGTGTATATCTTAAATTTAATTTATGTCTGTCGTTGATCCTTTAATCTCACAAAAAATTTCTACAGTTATTTATACAACCAGTCAATTTTCTTATTACAGATAAAAAGATTTCAACGTCAGCTAAGAGCCACAGACTTACATGAAGAATTCTTGGCAAAAAGCGAAAATGATCTCGAGACGGAAATGGAGGAGACCAAACTTGGTAGAGAGATCTGGAATGAAGCTGAAAAAGCTGTTTAATTAATATGATCCTAAAGACGTCTTTTTTTTTTTTTTTTTTTTTTTTGCGAAATTTGACCGATTTTTAAAAAAAATTTGGTCGTAATTTGAACAAAAAAATTTTACCATGGAGTTTTTGAGGGATTCTTTTAAGCACTGATAAAAAAAATAATAAACTCATTTATCACTTTCAATGGTGTTGTTTATTTCATTTTCGTCATAAAATCAGGTATGTATGTAATGTACAGAGAAATGTTGCGGTTAGTTTAAACAATATTTTTATTGAGAACGACAAGCAGAAAATACAGGCAAGTAGTACAGAAAATCAAAAAGGTTTCGGAAACAAGTTTTAAAAACTTATACTAATCCGTTTCCTTATTAATTATGATTAAGATAACAGACCCTTATTAGATAGTCACAAAACACGGTTTTAAGCTGCTTAAAAAATGATACATGTATTTGAAATAAACATACATGTTAAATTAGCATGTCGATTCATACAATGAATGACATTTTAATTACTTGTATACAGAGGAAATCTAATGGATTTGTACAATATGTATGAGAGAGACAGAGAGAAACAACAGAATATGGTTGAATTCACAGAAAAAATACTTAAAGAATAAATACACTAGACAAAATTGCTAACGCACCACCAAATGAAAATTAATATTTTACTTTTCAAAACTTGTTTATGATGTTTTTGATATAGAATTATATTACTTAAGCAAAAAATGATGCATTTAAACGTCTTAACTGCTAAATAACTACAATGTTAATTGAAACGTGGCCATTTTATAGAAAAAATAAAAATTGTGTCCATACTTTTTTAGAGGAACAAATTTCTACTTTTTTCTTTGTGTTTATGTTCTTTATTTTTATAATAATTAAAAATTAAAAAAAAAAAATACACCGTATATGCGGCATTTGATCTTAGAAGAGCGTGCTAAAAAGTCAGTATGGTGTCTGCAGGCGGTTCCTTTGGAACAATTTGTATTAAAAAAAAAAAAAAAAAAAAAAAAAGTTGCTGTCCTTTAAAAAGGACTGCAATACGTGGACCATATGCATGTGTTTCTAAACGAAATTCAAAGAACATTTCTAGATTTTGTGATTTTACAATGGTGTAATTAAATTAAATTATTTTTAACATGTATCTTGTAATTTTCATCGTTATTTAAGTCTACTTAATTAGGCTGTAATGATAAAAAAAAAATCATGACCTTGAAATGATACGAATATGAATTGTTGATCTAGGTATCTATCACAATTGTAATCTAGCCTTTAAAATTAACAACAGAATTAAAAGAGTCTTAAGCGTACAGTTTTCGTAAAGGTTGAATTTTAACTCCATTGGCGGATCCAGGGAGGGGAGGTCCGGGTGTTGGAACCCCCTTTATTTTTGCAGAATGAGGAAGAGAGAGAGAATGTTTTTTCATTAATATAGATATTTTTACGTCTAGTATTTTCAATAAAATAAGTACTTCAATCTCTGCCCTTTTTGCTCTCTAGATAGAATTTTGCTTATTGCTTTCCTCCGTGTATTTTCATAACCCCGGCCCCGGGACTCGACCACCCACACGTAACATGAAAAATTTCACTTTGATATCATCTGAAGATTCCGGCGAATACGGCTATGCCATTTTTGGAACATCTTCTAAAGTAACTAACTTTAAGAAGTATGAATAAAAAGTCACGAAAGGGAGTATGCATAAGAGAATATTTATCTCCTAAAATTATGAAGATATTTTAATCAATGAAGAGAAAGGTTCAAAATGT